AAGTTTTCAGCAGGACCACTATAGCTTTCAATGGTGGTCCCATATGTACCACCCACATGAACCATTGCTATTTGCTAGAGAAATTACATTCCTGAATATTATTTTTATTCAACATAAGAATAATTGTTCTCGAAAGTTTGAAAGATGTTAATTAAGTATCCCTTTGCAATAAATTTCTATATTTATAAAAGTTAAGATTTAATTTTTATTACTTAATCGAATCTATCACTCCAAATCAAATTAATATTTTATATTAATATTATATATATATATATAATTGTATTTTGTAATATGATTAGTTGAATTGATAAAAGATATAATTAATTAATATTTTCATGATTTGTAATTAAGAAAATATGCAACATACAATATGGTTGAAAATATTGTATGTTGATAGAATAAAATAAATTTTTAGTAGTTAGATTTTGTTTATAATTTTAGTATAATAGAAAAAAGAAAAGGCTGGTTGATTTATACACTAACACAGGAATTGAGTTGTATTTTTGACAGTTAATGAGAAACTAATTTGAATTGATTATTAATAATAAATTAGTAATTTTTATAATTTATTGAAATAATTTAGGCTTTCGTTTAGGGTTGGTTAAGTGTTTAATTGGAATATTTAATAATTGGTAGTTAATGACCTTAAATGTTATACGATGAGCATTTTATGTAAGTGTCATTTTTTCAGTTGTTTTCTATTAAAGGAGTATAATAAAAGTAAAAAAATAAATACTGATTAATGGGTATAAAATGTTTAGCCTAAAATGAATGTCTGAAACGGAAAAAAAGATCATTGAAATTCCTATAACATGTGGTTTTATTGAATGATGTATTTAATTTTGATTCTATGATTTTGTCATGAATAAGTAATAAAATCAAACGTAGGTGGTCTTTTGAAATTGCATGTCCTAATGCAGTGTTGTCCATATGAATGAATATGTCAGTTTGTTGACCCAAGCCACAATTCATTACACATACATAAGAACCATTGATGACATAACTGGTGAAGACAAAAATATAACATCAGTAACCATGAATATATGGAAGATGACAATCTGAGATGGAAAAAAAAAGTATATAATGAAATAAGATACAGAAATATTTAAGTTTTGATGATTGTTAATGGTGATACACATCCAAAGAAAAAAGAAGTTTGAAATGATAGAGAAGCAGTTTATAACAAAACAATAGTTATAAAAGAAGCATGAAGTCATGCTTTGTTAACATTGAGGACGAGGAAGTTTAAGTCAATAAGTTTTCAATCTTTAGTCGTAAGCCTTGCTAGTATCCTTGACGTCTAACAAGCTGACACCATTCCTTCCCCAGGTAGAACTCGTTTTTGTTGCGGTGTGTTGATGTTCGTTTCATGTCAATTTGAACCATTTCTCCGTCTTCATCAATTAAGACACAAGTATTGTATTTGTGTATGCTCCAAAGAAGAAAGTATTTAATCGGAAAATACTGCAAAGAATAGTGAAAGAAAATTTTTGACATTAATGTGTATATTAATTATTGTAATAAAAAAAGTTATTAATTACAACAAAAATTGTCATGTAACTCCATACCAAAGGTTGTCTTCCAGTTGATGCAGATTTTATGATAGTGTGAAACCAAACAACCCGATGTCTTGCCATATG